CTCCACTACTTCAAGAACCATCTCTACTGCTCCACTTAAAAGTACAAAGCACAGGAAACGCAATAAACAGATTAGCTGTGGGCAACAAAAAAATAGTAGGACTGGACATTAGGGGTACCAAAAGCAGACTCCTAAAAAGGGGAACAGGGAGCAAAGTCGCTGAAAGCTGGAGCTAGTGTAGGGACCCTGACGTTTGCTCAAGATACCCCAAGACCAAATTCTCAGCACAGAGATTTATCTGCCCCAGAGGGGGAAAAGGGCAGGGAATAAGAGACAGACAGAGGCAGGATGGTGGTGGTGCACGCCTTTAATCCCAGCACTCCAGAGGCAGAGGCAGGTGGATCTCTGTGCGTTTGAGGCCAGTCTGGTCTACAGAGTGAGTCCAGGACAGCCAGGGCAACACAGAGAAACCCTGTCTTGAAAAAACAAACAAACAAACAAACAAACAAACAAACAAAAAGTTGATTTAAAATAATGTCATTCAGAGCCAGATGTTATGGTTGGTGTACTGTTGTAATCTGAGTGCTCAAGAACTGAAGCAGGAGGGTAGAGCTCAAGGCCAGCACGGGCTATGGGAAAGTCTATCTTTAAAGGAATGACTAGAGGGCTGGAGATAGCTCAGTGCTTAACAGTGATCAGTACGGGTGCTGAGGACCTAGATTGGTTCTCAGGACCCACATGATCAGTCACAACCTCAGTAACTGTAGTTTCAGGGGATTGGAAGCAACTTCTTACCTCCAAAGGCTCCTGCATACAGTGCATACATAAACTCAGGCACATACATATATACACACAGAAAATAAGTTTAAAATAAATGAAAGAATGAGTGAATGGCTAAATATTAACCAGATAATTCTGATTTTATTTTGTCAAGACTCCCTGGCCTAGAATTCACTGTGTAGAACAGACTTACCTCAAACTCATGGCAATCCTCCTGTCTCCACTTCCCAGTGCTGAGATACGAGGCATGAAATGATTTCTGGCTTGATTTTTTTAAAGAATTATTTATTTTATATATATATGAGTACACTGTCGCTGTCTTCAGACACATTACAACAGGGCAGCACATCCCCTGCAGTGGTTGTGAGCCACCATGTGGTGCTGGGACTAGAACTCAGGACCTCTGGAAAAGCAGTCAGTGCTCTTATTAACTAACCTCTATGCCATCTGTCCAGCCCTCTGGCTTGATTTTTAAACTTTGAAACTTTGACTTTTAAATATGATACTTATTCATTATAACTTTTATAGTTTGATTTTAATGGGATATTAAAATAGATGTTAAAATTATAGGATATTCTAGAATAAAAGTGACTTCTAAAATCACAAAAAGTAATACTAATTTTAAACTTTACATTTACTCCAATTTACCCTTTACGCAAATGTCAACACTCTGACCACACTTACATTTTATTTTTTACTTCCAGAGGTAATTACTTCTCTGGGCTTGATCATAGAAAGCCCAACATCAGCTTGGAGGCTGTAAGGCGATAGGGATTCACACAGCTGCTGGGTGTGGTGAGGGCCTTTAATCCCAGCCTTGAACTCAGAGATTCTCCAACCAGGGCTATACAGTGAGCTCTGTTTGTTCAGAACAAAACCAAAACCCAAATCAGGGGCTGAGGAAATGGATCAGAAAGTGAGGTGCTTGCTACCCAAACATTAGGACTTGAGTTCAGATTCCCAGAATACAACGTAAGATGTGGCTACCAGTCTGTAACCCTGGGCATTCCCACAGCAAATGTAACAACCTCCATTTTGACAGGGTTGTCACTAGCATGCTCAAGCACAGTCTTTTCTCTACTTCAAGATCTAGAACCATCTCTCCAGGAGAGAGAAACAGTCAAGATGGAGCTGAGAGAGAGGGAGAGGGAGTTTCCTATCATCCAGTAACTCCTCTTCCCCAGGAATACAGGATGTTCTAAAAGGATGTAAAACATTCTATTCAACTCAAAGGGTTCAGGAACTCCCTAAAACCCACCAGACACACCAGGACCCCTCCTTTCCAAGTATATTAGTTGTAAGGACCGCTGAGAGGCACTCTCAGACAAGTTGAGCTGCCCGAAACAGACATTCTCTAACCTGTTGAGCTGCCTGCAAGTTGTACAGAAGGCTCCAAGTTTACAGCTTTTGTGACATGGTGAGCGCTCATGGTGCAGCTGTCTTTTGAATCATTTCTGTTCCTGTGGTAATCCCTCATCCATACTTCTGTATGTAACTCCAATAAAACTCATCAGTCCACTCCAGTGGACTTGGGTGGTGTCCTTATTTTGGTCTGTCATTGGTTCCTGATTGGAGTAAGTAGATGTTTGTAGATGTTTGTCCCCATCTTCCCAAGGTTAGTGTCACTCAGCAATGTGATATTAAGAGTCTCTGAGCACAAAACTGGAACATTTCTTCCTTTGAGTCTTCCTGTGTCCCAAAGCAAGTGGTTCAGTGACCACGTCTGTTAAGACACTAGCCACATTTAAAGACTAGGAGGCCCCAGGGCCTGCTCTTGAGAATTGTCAGCCACACCAAATGAAGTGAGAAGGCAGGTTTAAAAAAAACAAAAAACGAAAACCAAAACAAAACCCAACTCCCTTTCTTGTTAACTCATATTGCAACAAGCAAGGACAGTGAAGCAATTCTTTAATGGCACCCAAGGAACACAAGTAGGGGTTCAGTGAGGGTGCCAGTTAGTGAGATTAAGCTAGTGCCCAGGACAAACCTGAGCAGGGAGAAGCGGGGACACAAGGGCAGTCACTGTCACCCTTGTAAACGCAGAAGGAACTGCCATTTACACGCTGTAGGAATGTAATCCTCTTAGAACCCACACCAGGCCAGTTGTGGTGACAATGTCTTTGACCTCTGGTCTACAGAGCCAGTTGTGGGGCAGGATAGTGAACCTTGGGGAGTGGACAAGGAGAAGGAGAGAGAAGGGGGGGGAGGGCAGAGAGAGAGAGAGAGAGAGAGAGAGAGAGAGAGAGAGAGAGAGTGATTGATTATGCTTGTGTGTCCTGTGCAGTCATGGGACCCTTTGGGAGGGCGGGGGCAGGTCTATGTAGCCCTAGCTGTCCTGGAACTCAGAGATGAGCCTGCCAGCGCCCACAGAGTACTGGAATTAAAGGCATGTGCCACCATGCCCAGCTCACAGGCCCTTTTTAAGAATGAAATAAGCAGGGAAAAAAAATGAGATCTACAAAAGCCTAGTGTTTAGGCTCAGCCTTTAGGGAAGGTAAAGCCTAAGAGAAGTGTTGGGATTCTGACCCTGGACATAGGCTGAGGTTCCTATTTAACTTATCAAAGCAGACCTGGCCTCCAGGTTCTCCCAGCATCCCTCAGTCCCTACCTGAACTCTCTAGTCCAGAGGCTGGGCTTCTCTTCAGAGGCTCTTCAGTATACAATTCAGACATTTTGTTTTGGTCTCAGTGTCCTGTCCCCCAGTCCCCTCTGCAGGTCTCTTCCCCTTTCCCTTTGTCTCCTCATCTGCATGGTGACCTCCCTGGTCTCAGTCCTTGCGACTGGTGAACCAGTCCAAGAGTCCCCAATAAACTTGCCTTTATACTTTAACTTGGCATGAGTTGGCTTATTTCGTCTTGATAACTTATCAAGAAGCTCAATGTCAGGTTTATTTCTCAAAACTGAAAATCTTTAGTGTTTCTCCTGATAATATTCAAGAGTTACAAACTATTTTTCTTTCTTTCTTTCTTTTCTTTTTTTTTTTTTTGGAGACAGGGTTTCCCTGTGTAGCCCAGCAATGGCTGACCTGAAACTTATTCTGTAGTCCAGGCTGGACTCAAACTCTCCTGCCTCTGCCTCCCAAATGCTGGGATTAAAGGTGTGCACTGCCCCCACCCCACCCCGTGCACGCGCGTGCGCGGGCACACACACACACACACACACACAAAGAAAAGTTCTTATACATTCACTCAGAGACAAACTTACCAGTCAAGCTTTTTGGACGTGGACTAGCCATGTTCTTGACTGCATGCACAGAGGAGGAACTTATCAGAACAGTGGATAGCTCATAACTCTAACAAGGGGTGGACAAAGCAAACTCAGGAAAGTGGCCAAGACCAGGGACTGAGGCAACCAGGAGCCCAACAAGGCCAGTTTGCTTGGCATATCACCTGAGGAGCCAGTGGATATGCTATGGCTGCCCTACTGCACTAAGGCCAACGGTGTCAGAGACACCACCAGAACTAAATCCAGTTCTAAAATCTCTGGCTTCTGGATGTCAGTCTCTGGACAAAGCCCAATTGGTCAAGCTAAAGATAGACAGGCAGATGTCCCACCATCAACACATACACACACACACACACACACACACAAACACACACTTAGCCTGGAGAATAAGTATATCTACCTTGGACACAGCCTAGTATCACCCAGATTTGCAAAAAACATTGGATTTCTGGAGAAAGTGAGACATGCTATTTTTGGATGTCAACTTGACTATATCTGAGATTAACTAAAGTCCAAAAATGGAGGGCATACCTGTGAGGGACTTTTGCACAATTTGAAGTAGGAAGATCCACTTCAAATCCAGATCTTGAGGTGGGAAATCACATCTTTAATATATATTCTCTCTCTCTCTCTCTCTCTCTCTCTCTCTCTCATCCCTCTCCCTCTCTCCCTCTCTCTCTCTCTCTCTCTCTACACATACACACACACACACACACACACACACACATATATATATGCAGTCACTTACAAACAAAAATATTTATATTATATAGTCTACTACTTATATAGATATTCATCCTATAAGTTGCTACCATAGAACCCTGACTAATACAATATCACAAATAGATTGCACTAGTTCATAGCTCTTCTGTTTGTCTGTGGACAGCATCTTATACATAAGAAGTAGAAAGCAGAGCTGTTTGGTTTGGTTTGTCTTTTGTCTCAATACAAGTTTGGGGGCAGGGGAGTGTCTCTGTGGTCACTAAGGTCAGCAGAGTAATTGATCTGTAGGAGGCAAGAAGGTTGTTCGATTCAACACAATCAAGTAGCCAGTGTTGGTTCAAACTTTTCGAGTCTGACGCCAAGTAGTTTATTTGGTGAAAACTTTCCTGGTAATAACTAACCTTTGTGCACAGCAAAGTTTAAGACGTGATCTCACTGGAACTCTTTGTAAAATACATGTAACATCTTCCAGAAACGTCGTTTCTATAGACTGAGAAAAACATGTTCAACGATAATGGTCTGGGGAGGAACTGGTGAGGTCCCAGGCTATCAGCTTCAGGTCCCAGGCGTATTAATCACATCCACTCCTTCTAGGCAGAAAACATGTTATACACCTTCTCACTGAACAGACATCCCTGTGTATTTAACATTCCTGGTTTCCTCAGTGCTTATCTGTGAGCAAAAGAACTTCTGTGCCTCACACACAGGTTATTTCTTAAACTCTTGTACAATAGTCATCGTTACGGGGCCAATTCTCGCTGTATTATAATAAACAATACATAGTCAAGAGCCTCCTCGAAGCAGCCTCGAGGCACAGATGGATGTCCAGTAGGATAATGCTCCGAAGGTGAATTGCTGAGCCAAATTGTTGACGGACCTGCAGAAACACATTTAGGGAAAATGAAACACTAGAGAGCGCAGAAGTGGGGGTTTTGTTGTTGTTTTGCGGTGTGTGAGTGTGTGTGTGTTGACAGTGGGTGTCTGTTGTTAAAATTCTGACTGGGTTTTACTAAGGACCGGAGCGCTAGAAGTTTCGGTAGTCCGGCCTTAAGAAGCGCGGGCGGAAGTGCAGAACTGGAAGCGCCCATCTCCCTACAGGTCATTTGCATAGCGCGGAGCAGGGGCTGCGGCATCCATGTGGGGCGCACTCTCCAGCATCCCCGTTTGCACCCCAGCTTCGCCCGGGGTTTGAACGGCTGTGCCACCACGTGCCAGTCCGTGTCCTTCCCCGCTGGGCCAAAGCGTCCTCGCCACAGCCCTTCCAGTATAAACGCAGGAAACGAGTAGAAAGCCCAGGCTGCGTGCGCCGAACCTCCTGCCCGGAGTCCCGGACCACAGCCGGCTTTCTCCGGACTTGGTCTGACCCGACAACCCGCCGCTCCCGGGACTTGGAGTCAAGAGCCGGGACCCCTGGAGGAGCACCGGAAGAGGTGACACCACGGACCCCAGGAATGTTTGGAATTCGTAAGGAAGTGGGAATCTCAGTGGTTCCGTGTCGGCTCGCCACTGCGGCCACCGGCCACGGGCCCAAGCCAAGTGTAGCGAAGCTTAGAAAAGGTTACCCAACGTCATGTGGCTTGAGAAGGCTGCCGGGCGCCTAAAACCGCCAGCAGGTCCCATGGTGTAATGGTTAGCACTCTGGACTTTGAATCCAGCGATCCGAGTTCAAATCTCGGTGGGACCTCACTGAACCTTTTTTTGGCCCTAGAATCCCAGTTTTGGGGCCTGCAGGGAGTATCAACCAACCCGAGGCTCCGCGAGGACTGCACTGACCTGTAGGATGGACGTTCAGCTTCCTTCCCTGTGTCACAACAGGTTTACATTTCAGGAACAGCCTGGGCTGGGAGGCACTGCGCACGCGCGCCGAGTCGGGCGGAAAAATTAACGTGTTGATGGAAGACTGAACATAACTTTACCCTGGAGGGAAAACGAAAGAACCCGAAGGATCCCGAGGCTTTCCTGTCTGAGTACCGCTGCACTCGCCGCGCCTGGGAGCCTCCGCCCCCTACTCTCTGATTGGCGGTTGTACAGAACGCGCGGCGGGATTGCTTTGTGAACTGCGAATGAAGTGGCCGGACAGGGCCAGGGGGCGGGCAACTGGTGCCAGGGGGCCTCTTATTGGATACAAGCGAGCGGTTCCCGGAGGCTTGTGCGTTTAGGGGTCAAAAACCTGTGTTTTGGTCTTGCTTCTGCGTTGCTCACCCAGCGAGGTTGTGTTTCAGTTAGACAACAGTCCCTTAGGCAGCTGACAGTTGGTCAGGACTGTTTCTCACCGTCCGTGGGGTGTTTCTGCGAGCGAAGGGCAGGAATCGCTAAGGATTCCTCCAACAGCATCGCGCCGCGGGTGGAAAAATATGTACAGGGAATATATCTTCTTTGGATTCAGATCTGGGGTTTGAGACTGTCCCCGTGGGATAAATGACGAGGGAGCCTGCTGACGCATTCTGGTCTCCCTACAGAGTGACTGGCACGGTGGCTATAGGTTATCACCCTTGGGAAGATGCCATGGAAACAAAAAGGCCCCTCTTTCGTCTCTCTTATTAATGCTCTAAGCATGCCTCTTGCAGACACGACCCACGCACTCTTTAAAACGTCTGAATGGATCAATTTGAATGAGCCATCCCAGCCTCAAAAATATCAAGACGTGAGAGGAGGCACACTTGCGCTACCAGAAAATGAAGCTGCTTGTTAATGTTACATTAAAGAAATTAAGATAATGTCCAGATGGATAAACATACTGATGGAAGAGAATACAGAAGCAAGATGCAGCCCCACCTTTATGGACAGTTTCTAATAACAAAGGTGTCACAAAATTTAAATAATAATAAAAGGTAGCACAACAGAGTTAGGAGAAAGGACCTACTGGACATCTGCCCATGCATTTGGGGGGGGGGGGGAATGAAATCGGATTCCCGCCTACACCAAGCACAGCAGCAAATCCCACGAGAATTGTTGACCTGAAAGTGACAGGAACAGTGAGCTTTGGCTGACGACATAGGGGAATACCTACACCTCAGTTTAAACAAGGCCTGAATAAAACGCACAAACACTGAATGTACTACCCCATGTTCTTATCGAAAAAGTGAAAATATCTGGGCGTGTTGCTCAATGGTAAACCGCAAGGCACTCAGGGCCTGGCATACTAAGAGAAAAGGTACACCACGGACTTGGAATATGCACGTGTAGTGCATAAATAGCAAATAAATCTAAAATTCTAAAAGCCTGTAAGAAAACAGCCTGCAGAAAAAAGTAGCAAAACCATGTGCTGGGGGCATAGCTCAGCGGGTAAAGTGCTTGCATGCAACCACATGGACCTGAGCTCCGCCCACAGGAACTCATGTCAGAGAGCTGGGCATGGTGGAGAGTGTGTGTAATCCCTGGGAAGCAGAGGCAGAAGGGTCTCTGGGGGTCACTGACCAGCCAATAAGAGAACCTGTCTTTATAAATAAATAAATACATAAATACATAAATAAATAAATACAAAATACTTGAGATTGACCCCTGGCTTTCACATTCACATCCATATTGTTAAACAGCAACATCGAGAGGAAAACAGCTTCAGACTTGAGCGGCCCCTCACTTTGGAAATCCAAAGCAACCATCACATGTCAGAAGATGTAGTATCTCATTAAAGAGCTAAGGTGGACACCTCACACCCACCAGATAACAATGCTAAGTGTATCTGAGAACATGGGATAAGATGGGCTGGGAGCATAGGTCAGCAGTAGAACACACACACAAAGCCCTGGGCTGACATCTGTACAGACATGGGTTCATTCACATAGGCACAGACACATAGATAGGACAAAACCCACAGGTACCTCTCAGCATCATGGGATATCCCTATAATGCCAGTTCCTGGTGTTGGGGTCTGAAAAAACAAAACAACCCAAGCAGTCACAAGGGTCCAGTAAAGCAAGATTCTTATTGGAATTAGGCAGCAAAAACTGGCCACTTGGGGACAACAGCACAAACTCAGGAATTAACTGTGTCTTTGAACGTTCATTTTGTAAGTATTTAAGCAGATACCAAAATCTTACTGCAGTTAAGCTGCTACTGATTGGTCAGGGCTGTAGAACAGACTCTAGAACTGAACTGCGACTCTGAAGAGAAATTGTACAGCATTTTCAAAGGCTGGAACCTCAAAGTGAGGGAGAGCAGGGCTGGCTGTGGCATTTCCCAGTCATATTTTGACACGAGTTGGGCAAGGAAGCAAACATCAGTGGCTGCCTTTATCTAGGTCACCCAGTTTCAGGGTCTTGAGTCAGCTTTTGCAGTCGGGCCCCCTCCTTGACTTCTGACCTGGAATTCAGAATGATAAGGGAACAAAGGGGCAGGCAAGCTGCATGTACTCAATTTAAGTCCTAATGGCAACACATTTACGACATGTATGCCTTAGCTTAGATAGCCCGAAACTTCCTTCTTTACATCCTTCAGTGGTTAACAGACAAACATGAAACATCTGAAGAAGCGGGAGAGGAGTCGGTCCCCAGGTCTGCGAATGAAACCTGTTTTGACCCTGCTAGCAAAATGGAAGTTGTGCATGAGATGGCTGGACTCAGGCAACTATCTCTCGACACCAGCACATGGCAAGAAGAGGCAGGAGGATTGCTGAGAGTCCGAGTTCAGCCTGGAGTACATGGTAAGTTCAAGAGTAAACAGCAAGTTTTGTTAAATAGAGCCGGGTGGTGGTGGCACACGCCTTTAATCCCAGCACTCAAAACACAGAGGCAGGTGGATCTTCATGAGTTCGAGGCCAGCCTGGGCTACAAAGCAAGTTCCAGGACTGCCAAGGATACACAGAGAAAACCTGACTCGAAAAACAAACAAACAAACAAAAGCAAGTTTTGCTGAATAGCAAAAACCTTATTTCCAAAAAACCAAAACCCTGGTATGAGTCCATGTTATTCTGGATATTTGTTATATTCTACACAGAGAGTTAGATGCTTAAAAGTTACTTATCTAGAGGGTGGAGAGATGATTCACTAGTTTAGAGCACTGGATGCTCTTCCAGAAGACCAGAGTTCAATTCTGAGCCCCCACATGGCAGCTGCCAACTATCGGTAACTCCGTTTTCAGGCAATCTGTTGTCTTCTTCTAGTCTTTGTGGGCATCTGGCATACATGTGGTGCACAGATATAAGGCAAAATACTAATACATATAAAACAAATAATAAATAAATCTTTAAAAATTACTTAAGATGATTATGTGTTGAATGCCTGAAACCCCACAGGTCTCAAGCCCTGCTCAGGCTACATACTAAGACTCTCTAGGCTCAGAAAATAAGAGCCCTGGCTCTTCCAGAGGACCTGGGTTTGAGTCCCAGAACCTACATGATACAACTGTATGTCACTCCAGTTCCAGGGGACCCAATGCTGTCTTCTCAGGCACTGCATGCACATGGTACACACACACACACACACACTCACACACACACACACACACACTCACACACACACACACACTCACACACACACCACAGGCAAAACACTTATACCCTTAAAAATAAACAAGTAGCTCATTTGGTGGAGTGTTTGTTTAGCATGCAGAAAACCCCTTGTTCATTCCCATCACCGGATGTGGAGCATCTTTAGGAGGTGAAGGCAGGACAAACAGGTGTTCAAGATCATCCTCAGGGGCTCTAATAGGGAGTTGGAAGCTAGCCTGGGATCCAGCAGAGACTGTCTCAAAAAATAAAATGCTTATTTTAGCTGACCGTGATGGCGCCTGCCTTTAATTGCAGCACTTGTGAGTCAGAGGCAGGCAGATCTCCACGAATCTGAGGACAGCCTAGTCTACATAGTGAGCTCCAGAACATCCCAGATGTGCTGAAAGACCCTGTCTCAAATAAGTAACTATTTTTAAAAAGACTTTGTCTAAAACAAAACCAATCCAGCAATATGGTTTTGCTTTTGCTAGACATATGGATGTATTTACAAGACCAGGTAAAGTCTAGGTGTCCTACAAAGACCTGGATGAAAATCCATCCTCCCTCAATTGGCAAGATATAGGTAAGCAATTTGAATGTATTAAGCCTCTTTGGTAAAAGAATAACCATGGTGCCTTTTGCCTGCCAGTGTCTGGAGAATTAGTAAAACAATCAGAAAAGCCCTAGCTAAGTGTACTGTCACACGCCTATAATCCCAGCACTTGAAAGGTTGGGTCAGCAGGATCAGAAATTCAAAGTCATCTTCAGCTACACAGCAAGCTTGAGGGCAGCATGAGATTCTGCCAGAGAAAGAAAGAGGCCAGGGAGATGGCTCAGTGGATGAAGTCACTTACCACACAAGCCTGGTGGCCTGCAACCTGCATAGAAAAAAAAAAAAAGGAGAGAGGTGACACCCAGAGGTTGTCCTCTGACCTCCACGAACATCCCTGGCATACATTCACCTCCCCCCAGCTCATCAGGAACATGGAGACACACGTGCACTGTGAGAGTAGACAGAAGCACTCAGATCTATGTCTGTGCTATGTCCAATAGTGGTGACTTCTCCAAAGACAACCAGCATAGTGACGTTCTAGAAGCTCAAATACTAGAAAGAAGAAACACTAATGCACAGAGGAAAAACTTAGAAAGCACAAACGGCTACTTAATGTATTTGCTTATGCGTTCTTAGTCTGGGTTGCGACAGAGGCTATGAGAACTCATGGATGGAAGTTCAAGGGGCAATTAGGAAGAATGCTCTGATGATTTTGCCGTTCATCAGTGGGACAGTCCCGAGAGCTAGAGCTTCTGGTGCCTAGAAATCTGGAGAACTCGAAGTCTTCTGTCTGCCGTGGTGTCAGAGGTTTCTGCGCTTGCAGGGAGACTGGGCACCACGCTCTCATCAGGCCTTCTCAGCGTCTGTTGGCAGGGAATCCTCACTTCCAACTCAGAGCTTTGCTGGCCATCAGCTTTCACATCGATTTTCCAGGGGTTTCCACCTTTTTGTTTTTGTTGGTTTGTTTTATTCA